GTTTGCGAAATGGTTTTCCTATTTTACTGAGTAACTCTGTAATTTTCGTTAAATACAATTCGGTTGCCCTCACCTGTGTTCTCCTTCACTACACTATCAGCTATTAAGGAAGCATTGCCTAGTAGGGTTATGAAAACAATCAATAGTAGTAGTTCAAAGTCATAAACGGTCAATGGATCGATAGTTTTAATCTGATGATTAATCAATATATATGCACATATCGATTTATTGTTTGTATTTGAAGAGGGATGAGGTTAATAAATTCATTTGTCAGAAGAAGAATGGTTACTGTTATGTGTGTGAGGGTTACCCACACCACCATTGCCAACTGAGACCAGCTACTGTGCAGAAAAAGGTTAGAGTTAGGTGTATTAAAAGTTAATCAGGAGTTCTAACTTTGTTTTACAAATTAAGGTGAAAGTTTACACTGAGAATAGTTCAAATTATTTTTTTCTTGTAAGTGGTTTTTTAGCGATTTACATTTCTACGGGATGGAGCCGCCAATATCATGTCAGGCCCTCCTCCTTTTTCCTTGCTTGGAACCGGCGGTAGCTACAGAGGGGCTGCAGGTGGATACAGTGGACAACTACGACGCAGCTGGGCGATCAAGACTTCGTAGATGATCTGGCTGTTCTATTTCACACTCAGCAACAAAGAGAAGAGGACCACTGTAGCGGCAGCCGTCTCAGCAGTAGTAAGTTTAAACATACACAAAGGGAAAAGAAAGATTCTCCTATACAACACAACATTCACAGACCAAATCACACTTGACGGAGATGCTCTTGAAGATGTATATCATATCTGGTCAGCATCACTAATGAGCAAGGTGGGTCTGATACATATGTGAAGGCTCGGATTAGCAAAGCAAGCGCATCATTTTTACAATTGAACAGCATCTACAAATCCAAACTAATATCAACCAACACCAAATTCAAAAATTTCAACACAAATATCAAGACAGTTCTACTGTATGTAGCAGAAACTTGCAAAACTACCAAAGCCATCATCCACAAGATAGAAGTATTTATTATAAGTTTTCTACGCAAAATATTTCGGATCCGTTGGTCAAACACCATCAGCAACAACCTACTGTGGTAGAGAATAAGTCAGATTCCAGATGAGAACGAAATCAGAAAGAACCGCTGAAAGTGGACTGTACACGCATTGCGGAATGCACCCAACTGTGTCACAAGACAAGCCCTTACCTGATATCCTCAATGCCAGCACGAAAGAAGAAGACTAAGAGAAATGGCGACGGACATGAGAAGAATGAACAATTGGATAGAACTTGGAAGGAAGATGGAGAACAGAGTAGGTTGGAGAATGTCGGTTAGCGGTCTACACTGGGGGTAACAGGCGTAAGTTGTTAGTATACTAACTCACTCTAATACATTTAGTATTAGGAAATCGACTTTGGACTACAAACGTCCTCCTTTCAGTCTTACTTTTTTTCAGTGAATCTAACTATCATGGTAAGACATTAAATAGCCCGGGTTCCAGTCAGTATATGTCGATTGGCTAGCGGCTGATGCTCCATAGGAGTTAACGGGAGAAAGGAATATAGGTAAGCTTTCATAGCGAAATGATACAAGCTATGCTCCAGTGCTTTATCATTCTACTGATTTACAACCTTAATAATTTTAACGTTGAGATTCAGAGTATATTTATATTAGAAAATGATGAAATTGTCTACCTTCAGTAATCAATTTTAACTCCGCCAGTAGAACCTTCGCGGCTACTGCCGGTCCCAAGCCCGGATAAAGGAGGAGGGTTGGACATGGGGTTGGCGACCCCATAACTTCAAAAACTAACTTGCCAAAAAACGCGTAAGTAAGTAAGTAAGTAAGTAATCAATTTTGACAACGTATTGAATCATAGTCGGTACTTTACCACACTATTCACCTTGAGAACAGTTAGATTTGGTTATTTAGCATATTTCAAATTCACTATTTCAAATTCACTTTCTGCTTGCAGATTAGAGGTTCGTTTTTTTATTGATTTTAAGCATTTTGGCGGCTATGCATTGCCAACTTTTGCTTCGTTAACAAAATAACATCCAGAGTTATAATATATCAGTGCACTTTCGATTTGATGCAAAATGCATGAGCTATTAATTGTAATGCTGATTGGTTCCCTCAAGGTCATCAGCATGTGATACATTTAGTAGTATAATGTCACGTGTCCGGGATGCATCAGCGATACCAGTTAGATGAGAAGGTAAGATTAGGAGACACAGTCTATTTGACTACCGAATAATGTGTACAAATACTTGCCTATATATATATATATATATATACTTGCTTACTTACGCCTGTTACCCACAATGGAGGGCCGCCCACAAGTTTTCTCCAACCAAATCTGTCCTCGGTTTCTCTCTCCAGTTCTGTCCAATGTTTTTTCATTCCTCTCATATCTTTCTCTATTTCTCGCAGTAATGTATTCTTTGGCCTTCCTCTTTTCCTTTTGCCTTGAGGGTTCCATGTCAAGGCTTGTCTTGTGACGTAGTTAGGTGCTTTTTGTAGTGTTTGTCCTATCCACTTCCACCATTTCTTCCTCATTTCCTCCTACACTGGAATCTGGTTTGTTCTCTCCCACAGTACATTGTTGCTGATGGTGTCTGGCCAATGGATCCGAAGTATTTTACGTAGACAACTGTTCATAAACATTTGTATCTTCTGCATGATGCCTTTCGTAGTTCTCCATACAGTAGAATTGTCTTGACATTTGTATTGAAAATCCTGATTTTGATTTTGGTTGAAAGTTGTTTGGAGTTCCAGATATTTTTGAACTGTAGAAATGCAGCCCTTGCTTTGCCAATCCGCGCCCTCACATCTGCATCGGATCCACCTTTCTCGTCGATGATGCTGACAAGATATGTAAAGGTGTTATCGTCCTCCAGGGCATCTCGATCAAGAGTGATTTGGTTGGTGCATGTTTTGTTTCATCGGAGAATTTTGCTTTTTCCTTTATGTACGTTGAGACCTGCTGCTGCAGAGACTGCTTCTACACTGGTCATCTTCTCTTGCATTTGTTGTTGCGTGTGCGATAGAAGAGCCAGATCATCTGCGAAGTCCAAATCGTCCTCATGCCCAACCCTCCTCCTTTATCTTGGCTTGGGACCGGCAGCAGCTTTGAAGGGTCTACAGGCGGAGGTATATATATATATATATATATATATATACCTTCTCCTTAGAAAGTGAGTCCATTTCTTCACCAAAGACATTTTTAGTTGACCACTTCTTATTGTCTCACTTTAGCATTTAGCTTCTAATATTTACTAGCATACACATTATTCATAGTTGTCTTCTGAATTTCGCAGCAATGAAATTTATAAATCCATTTGTTAAAGATTTTAATTTTGAGGAATTCAGTTTCGTGTTCTGTTACGGGTATGAAGGTGGATGTCATTTCCCGACTGCTTGTACCGTGGGAGGATTTTTCTTGAGGAATCTGAAAAGAAAAGATATTAGATTAGCGTTGGTTTTAGCGATCTCGGATTAACACATACATGATCAGCAACAACCATACTGTTGGAAAGAACATGAACTTGGTAGGCGAATGCTGATCAGTGGCCTAAGCTTTCTATGAGCGATGGTAAAACAGGCATAAGCAAGCAAAATAAGTTTATATTTCCTAATTGTCTTTCGTAATTCTGTGATTGTGTGTTCTCTCTATACTGAAGGATCCAAACTGAGGTTTGGACTGAACAATAACTATCTAGGTAGTTTAGATACGCGCTATCGCCCAGTTGAAATCCAAAACACAAGTGATTTGGGTAAATGACGGTTCTAATATTCATCATAAATATAAATATACATCATTACCTAAACAAATATTACCACTCAGTTATTCCACCAACAATTGTTCAATTAATCAAATCAACAGCAATAAATAAATGATATTCTATCCCTCCTGGATAGATCAGGTTCGTTTGACAGATAATATTTGGTTACTTTATAACACAGAGTGTTTCCTATTCTGGAAGGGCGCCTCAATTTAGAATCAAAATGCACAATTCCAGTCAGTAGCAAGCAACACAATCAAAAGAGGAACAAATCAATATGGCTGTCTCCATGACTAACTATCATCTTAAACAACACAAATGCAGTTCAGAAAGAAACACGGAAGCTCAGTAAAGGCAGAAGAAATAGAAACTATAATTAAATACAAATACTATTGTAGTGAAGGGGAACAAAGGCGGGGCAACCGGATTGTATTTAACGAAAATTACAGAGTTACTCAGTATAATCAGAAAACCATATCGTAAATCGTTCATTTGCAAAATATCAGTTCATCATATCGAACTGGACTGTTGTTCCTGTTGCAAAACATCAATCCATTGTCACTATTCATGCGTTTCATACGAATTCCTTTCTTGATCTTCCCCACATCTTCTGCTGCCAGACATTACGTTGACACACACGTCATATACTACTTATAAGTAGCTCGCACCACATTATCATCTCAAAATGAAATCAAACAGACTTCACAAAATGTACTACAACTGAAGGAATTAATAAGAACGAATTACAACTATGTATACATGGAGGCATTTTCACAAACAAATTCTTCAAAAAATTGGATCTTACATAGACTCAAATCTAACTGTCAAATTTTTTCCCCATATCATGATAGAATTTAACATGACTTTGACAATATCAACAAACTACTAATCATAACAACTACAGACAATAACACAAAACCAATTATCAACCAATCATTTCATGTTTCATGTGATGCACACGAACAATGTCAATTTATATTGAATGTTGATAAAATGTTCATTATTCAATATGGCGATTTTTGTGCAAAAAAAACGCATTCTGATTATAATTTTATTATCATGATTATTCAATAAAGCAATTTTAATTGATTAAATTATTTTTTTTTTAAAAATTACACACTACATACATAATTTAGGATGTAGGTCAGTTTTTAAATTATTATTATTATTACAATTTATTACAGTGAAATATAACACTGTAAATATAGTTCAGAGTAAAAATCATTCTCTTTTTCTTTGTCATGTTATGGATCATGTCAGCAGTGATGAGATAATGTACTTTTGTATTGATTGGTTGATTTACAAACGCCAATCATATATTCGCCAAATATATCGATATGATTGGTTGTTGTCGTAGTTTGACCTTGACTGTCTCAAAAAAACAAAAAAATTTCAAATGTTTTTGTACAATGGATGCTACTTTTTAATTTCATCATAATATTAATTATTTATAAAAAGGGATTATTATATTTCGAATGTTAATACAATTTTAAATTACAAGTCAGTAAAAATAAAATAAATATGAATGAAACCAATGAATCAATGATTTTAAAACAACACAAATTACATTTTATACGTTTTCGTAAATCAATTCATGCAAAAATTGCTAAAACAAGTGCATTATGTTATACATGGATTTCTTTGGTAAGTTAATTTTATTGTATTATGTAAGAATAAGTTTATTTGTATATTTAAAGATTACTTACTTATTTACTTACGCCAATTATCCCCAGGGAAGCAATAGCCACCAACTAGCATTCTTCAATCTACTCTTTCCCGGGGCCTTCTTGTCTATTTCTACACAATTGTTGTTCATTCTTCTCATGTCTTTCTCCGTTTCTCGGCATAATGTGTTCCTTGGTCTCCCACTTTTGCGCTGACCTTGAAGGTTCTATGTGAGGGCTTGACTTGTAATGCAGTCGGATGTTTCCTCAATGTGTATCCTATCCACTTCCACCGCTTCTTCCTCATTTCCTCCTCCACTCGAATCTGGTTTGTTCTCTCCTACAGTAGGTTGTTGTTGATAGTGTCTGGCCAACGGATCCAAAGTATTTTGCGTAGATAACTGATAATAAATACTTGAATCTTCTGGATGATGTCGTCGGTAGTTTTGCAAGTTTCCGCTCCATACAATAGAACTGTTTTGACATTTGTATTGAAAATTATGACTTTGGTGTAGGTAAATAGTGTTTTTTGATTAGTAGATGTTCATCATTGGTAGAAATGTTTCCCTTGTTTGCTAATCCACTCCTTAATATTTAAAAAATAAGCGTCATTCTAATTTTGTTGGCTTGTCATTTAAGAACAATGAGTAGACTCTTCTTAATATATCAAATAGATAGCTACAGAGTAGAACTTCGTAGGTAAGTATGTACATCAGTCCAAGTTGCCATAACACATTAGCACACAGAGATCGCATTGTCGATTCAAATCCCATAGTAGTAGAAAGAGTAGCAGTATGAACGATATTGGAGAAGATTTGGGTTGGAAGATATTATTCAAGAAGTATAATTCAGTGAAGTAAATTTAAACACAGAACCATTGAGATGATGATGAACTCAGAAGATTAGGATTTAAGAAAACACAAAGAGTGAATACACCTGTGCCACTGCATACCGTTTTAAGCCATGTCATTCAAAATCTCTAACCATCGGTTACGATTGCTTCGCGGACTCTGGTAGTCTACACCAACCAACATGAATCAGTCCAGTTGTCTAACGAATAGATAGATAAAATAATGTTTAACATTATTGCTCAGAAAGCTGCGGTGATACGATTTCTTGTGTCATTTGAAGAGTGACATAAAGAGCCAATCAAAAGGCAGTTTGATAACCCTCAGAGATGCCTTAAAGGATGAATGCATATTATTGGTCAATAAACGGATTCCTTTTCTATGGAGGATGTATATATATATATATATATATATATATATATATATATATATATATAGCTCATGTAGATAGTTTGAGAGACTAGCGCGTCACATATTCTGATCTTGAACATTGCACATCATAAAATAAAACTTCATAACATTTTGAATATATTACTCCGATATTTATGAATAATTAAATTTGCCATAAAATAAATTTCTCCTTCACTTTCCGTATATCATACTTAGACGAACCCTGTTTGTGTGACGTCAGTGATCAGAAATAAGTCAAATACGGATTCTCTTGGATGAGTTTTTTTCGAGAAATCCTGCGTGCAAAGCGTTAGAGCAAAGCGAAGTGAAGTGGAGAAGGCGAGCGAGCCAACTCCATGCTATGGGGCATGACTACATATTTATAGTCAGACAAAAATAAGCCAGACATCCGATAAGCGAAGTCAGCTTGCACGCACACACAGACTCGACTAAAAACAACCAAGACCAAACCGAATGACTGACAAAGTCAAAAGGCGAGTGAATTGTAATTCGATGAGAATGGATTGTCCATAGTCTGGAACAAGCTCTATGGGCTCGAAATAGAGGTTGTTGAGTTTCATTGAAATCGAAAACCTAATCAATGTTATACCAACATTGGAAACATGGAAGCATTGGGCGTCCGTTTCGTCCTAATATGCGGCTGATTAACAGTGTGCATCTATGATTCCCTCTATGTGGGACTCGAACCTAGGCCTTTCCATTTCCTATTGGGATAATACAAGTGAATTATTGAACTTTACTATCATTTAACTTAATACTTCTACTGATTTGATTTGTAGCAAACAGAATATTTTTCGGTCTTGTATAGATTGTTATGTCTGCCGAACACTCACCTGCCTTGATAATATCGAAATAAATTGGGGGAAAGCTGGAGGCGGACAGAACCTGATCGGACATCAGTTTATAAGATGTTTAACTACTGTACTGAGTCTTACAGGAGAAGAAAGTTTAAGTTGATTAGGATGAGTACAGTAATAGTTATCGGTGTCTGGAGACGTTAAGAGACATAACTGTAGTGCAGACACACTCATTTTCTTATATCTTACTCTGGATTTTGAGTACAGAATCCAAATCTTGCCATTTTTGTCTTCTTGAAACTTTTATCAAACTAACTAGACATATCGTTTCAAGTTTATCAATAGTCCATAAGTCCAGATTTGTTTTCTTAAAAAAGAAACTTACTTACACTTACTGCTACCCTTCTTGGAGTATAGGCCGCCGACTAGCATTCTCCTTTTGAAATTTATTTCACTGGACTATACTTCTCGATTCATATCTTCGCTTCTTAATCTTTTCTATTACCGCTAATACTTCTACGACTATGAGATTTGAATTGATAATTCTATCTCTCTGTGTGCTTATGTTGTGGTATGGCAACTTGAACTAATGTACGCACGTGTGTATCAAGTTCAACGTCGTAGCTGACTGAATTTGTCGTGACGACTCCTAAAACAAGAGATAACTAATCTAGAAATCATTTGTTTCATGTTACATCTGAAAACCGACCGTAGCTATAACCTTGAAGTGGCGATCGAGCTTGCCTATCGTGGTCAGCCAGCCGAGTTATATTGGCTGTAACATATGTTCCTTAGGGTCCTACGACACCATACAGGTCATTCGGAGAACGGTGAGACTAAAAGCAGCTACACAAGGTCTGAGGGCGACATCGTACTGCTGACTGGCTGTAGAGTGGTATGGCAGTGGTAAGTTGTTTCCACCGGACAACCACCATCTGCAGCGATTATGCCTGATCACAAGAAAAAAGGGTTTAGGGAAAGGTCGTTCATAAAAAAATACCACACTCCACCCTACCTCATGGTTTTCTGTCTTCGGGGATAAGACCACTTGAAGAGTGGAGCTAATACTTTCAAAACTCATAAAAAGGTCGTGTGTGACCGACCTCAAGCAGTTGTCCCTTGAACTCTGCGGTCACGCTTCCAGGCTTCTAAGATCAACACTAATCCAACTCCCTTTCCAGGTTCATCAAGAAATACCTTCCCATGTTCTGTGCGGCCATAAATCGACATCCGCCCTCATACTCGTAACAGCACACGAGACCAAACTAGTCGGAATGAAATCCCCCCCCGTATGACTGACATTCCGAAGAGAAATACACAACCACTATGGAAGGATTCCATCATGATTACAGTTCACTGCATTAAATATCGATTTGCAATCAAAATGACCAATTTTCTTCTCTTTTTTTTATTTATTTGTTCAAAAACTCATGTTCAATGGTGTATTAGCAGTAGTAGTAGTAGTAATAGTAACCTCATAAGAAGCAGCTTTTGAATAATTGATCTGCTTATCACACACGGTACATTCGGTTTAATCGAAATTTCATCATGGTTATTTATTAAATCGTTTACAAATAAATATTCGCATTACGGGATTGTGAAGATTGTTAAGTTACACATTTTTGAAAGCATGAATCGATTAATTTTAGACCACCATTAGAAACCTGGAAGCACTGGACGGCCGTTTCATCCTGGTATGGGACTCATCAGTGGCAGTGCGCATCCACGACTCCTGCACCCCGCAGGATCCGAACCCAGGACCTTCGGTATTGTGCGCGAACGCCCTAACCGTTAGACCACTGAGCCGGTATCTAACGGTGTTAATGTCTAACTTGATCAAATTCACGGAGTTGCGCAACCTCATACAAAGTCTTCGGTAGACACTGCCTACACCCGAACAGGTTGAACTTCACTGGTCACGTCTTCGCACTAGAACTCGGAGAAGATTCCTCACGAAGCTAGTCACTAGTGAGCACAGGTAATTTGCGTTACGGGGTTGTGAAGATTGTTAAGTTACACATTTTTTGAAACCATGAATCGATCAATGTTAGACCACCATTAGAATAAACCTGGAAGCACTGGAAGACGACCGTTTCATCCTGGTATGGGACTTCTCAGTAGCAGTGCGCACCCACAGGATTCGAACCCGGGACCCTTGGTATTGTCTAACCATCGGTATATATCGGTGTTCATGTCTAACTTGATCAATTCAACTGATTATACAAGTAAAAATTGTGAATACATGAATTGTACTGCACTATGGTTAGCTATGATCTGCTTATCACACACAGTACATTTGGTTTAATCGAAATTTCATCATGATTTTTTTTGTTAAGCCTTTTACAAATAAATATACAAAAAAAAGCGATTTAGGTCAAAGCAATCAAACACCACTATGATGCACTGAATTCGTTCACTCCTTTCAGTATTCAATATTCAATCAATCTATATGGTCAATAGATTTATGTGTTGAAAAAAAATAGTTCAAACATGATTATTATGTAATTATGTGATGAGATTGACTGTGAAAGAATATTGAGTGGTTCACTTTTGATATAGTTTTATGGTGCATGTGTGTGTGTGCGTGTGTGAGTACGTGTATAAAGGTTATCTGTGTTTAATAAGTTAAATCATCTTCGGATTAGATTGATTTCTTGTCAATATGTTTGGTAGTTAGTATGTGGTGCGCGCTACTTATAAGCAGTATATGACGTGAGTGTAAACGTAATGTCTGGCAGCAGCAGAAGATGGAGGAAGACCAAGAAAGGAAGAGTGGGAACACAATGGAATTTGTATGAAACGCATGAATAGTGAGTGAAATGTTAGACAATGGATTGATGATGGATTGAAGATTTGCAAATTAACCGTTTACGATATGGTTTTCCTATTTTAATGAGTAACTCTGTAATTTTCGTTTAATACAA